GGGGGGGGGGGCTCTGGTGCCCCCACCACGCCCGCCACCGCTCACGCAAGTTCGGCCCGCGGGCTCGGGTCGGGAGCCGACGCTCGGGAGCGGCGGGCGTGTCGCTGGCGCTACTGACTGAGTCGCCCGCTCATAGGAAACGTTCCGTCGGTAAGCACGAGTTTGAACCACAAAGGGGTGCCTGCCTCGGTGAGTGTGAGTGTGAGTGCAGCAGCAGCTGGCGAGGGGCCGGCTCGGACAAGCGACGTCGTGCGGAAGCCGAGGAGCCGCATACACGAAAGTTGTCAAATAGGGCTGCTCGTTGGTCGACAGACTTCAAACTTACAGGGAAAAGACGCCAGTGATTAAACGAGAACTTGGCGTAAGAATGGGGGCGCGTCATCATTTGCTTTCCGTTTCTAAAGGACGGCAAGTGAGGTTATGTTGCCCAGCGGCGGCGGGGGGCGGCGGCCGCGCGCCTTGCTTGTGCAACCGCGGCGGCCTCAAGGTCGCGGGATCAGTTTGTGTGTGGGGGGGGGGGGGGACTAAAGCGCGTCGAGTCCGCGCCGCCGGCTGGCTGCCGGCCAGAGTCGTGCGATGGGTGTGTGCGGGCTCGGACGGGCGACAAGTAAAACCGAGCGGGAAACCACTAGGGTAATCCGGCTGACAGCCGTTGGATAATCCAACAGGTGTAATACAAGGAAAGTCGAAAAGAAAATGCGGGGTAACCCGGGGAAACTTTAGGGCGCTGCCGACCTGAGTAGAGGTGTGCGAATACCCATTTTCGAAATCGAATCTTCAATATTTTTCCTCGAATCGAATCGAATCTTACAAATTTAACCTCGAATCGAATCCAATTATACTATTTCGGATTCGAATCGAATCATTTGATAGCAATAAAAACCGCACTTAAGAAAGGCAGTCAATATTATCTTTATCTTTAGAAATGGTGGGCCTGAAATTCTGGCAGACGTCATCGAGCGTGCAGTCTGGCCAGTTTTTGTTTCGATTTCGAACAAGAAGATTTTGATTCACCCGAATTGTTCGATTTCGAAGTGGCTTGTTTCGAAATCGAATCGAATCGAGCTTGATTCGATTCGAATTCGAACTGTTCGCACACCTCTAGACCTGAGTTGTGCGTTGGGTTGCCTTCCATCAGGGCGTTCAAAGTGAAACTGTGTATGGACTTCATATCGGCATTCCCGGGGTCACACCGGTCATGGAAGTCAGAGAAAAGTCAGGAATACCAGGTGGCTGATTAACCCCGCACACTTTTGTACTATGCAACCCGCCCGCACGGCTCCATCCGGGACTGCATACCCACCAGGCGCTGGGGACCGGCTCCAAGCGCCAGCGCGTCGCTCCGCCACTGTTGTTGCAGCCACCGCCCTGGTGCGTTACAAAGGGGTTGTTCGTGGTTTTCCGGGAGTTGCCGCGAGTCTGCGGGGGTAACTCGCGGGCCCGCGAGGGTAGCACGCGGGTCCGTGGGCGAAACTCGCGGTCCGCGGATCCTGCCGCGGGGGTTGCTCGCGGTCCGCGATTGCCGTCAGCTAGCGCCGCGGACCCGCGAGCTACCCTCGCGGACCCACAAGGTACCCCCGTGCACCCGCGAGTCACCCCCGCGGACCCGCGATTTACCCCCGCGATATCGCGAGTTACCCCCGCGGACTCGCGGGAACCCTCTAGAAACCGCGAACAACCCCTTTGTAACGCACCAGGGCGGTGGCTGCAACAACAGTGGCGGAGCGACGCGCTGGCGCTTGGAGCCGGTCCCCAGCGCCTGGTGGGTATGCAGTCCCGGATGGAGCCGTGCGGGCGGGTTGCATAGTACAAAAGTGTGCGGGGTTAATCAGCCACCTGGTATTTAATTTGGGTCAGGGAAAATTTTTAGGTGAGGGCGAATCATGATGGCTATGGCCTAGGTACGCCAGGTAGATGATTAACCCAGCTCACTTCTGTAGTTATACCGAGGGGGCAACAACTCCGGGAGGGAATCATGTGTACACCTGCCTGGGAATCACCAGGATAAAAAATAATCGAAATCAGCAGAAATCGTTTAAACTAAGCGGAAAACTAGAGGAATTGGTACAAATTAGTCGAAATAAGCTTTTTCTACACTGAAAAATCTAAGGAATGATTATAAATGCACGGGAATCACTGGGAATCAAGAATTTCGTTAATCATGTGTACACTTCAAAAGGGAGTTATTGCCCCCTCGATTTATACTGTACCGCACGCACGAGTGCGGGCGGGTTGCCTACTCGCTCGACCCGTAAGGCGCCGTGGGCAGGGGCGATAGGCAAGCCCCGTTCGCACTAGTCCGTGCGGTACAGCATAACTACAGAAATGAGCGGGGTTAATCAGCCACCCGATACTTTGACCAGAGTAGCAAAAAATGCAGATTCGGAATTTAAAAAAATGTTGCACGCTCCGCTTGCAAGCACTGCTGGCAACATTCTTGTTTTTCTTAATTTCTATATTCTTCAGTAATAATAACTTCATCGTTTGCATCTTTTACTTCATTTTTACTACAATAACCTCCCACCGCCAGGTTCGCACGCCCGCTGCCTGCCCAAATGATCCGTGCGCCGAAACGAGTCCGGCAGACTCGCTGCTAGCATCGATGGATGGTCCACTGTGCACAGTGGACCATGGACCGCACGGCTCATTTTGGGTTAGCCCTCTTACAAGGATCATTTTTAATGACATTATTCATCCCAGAAAATGCGCTGGCCCGCGTGGCCCGCCCATCCGGCACCCCCAAAGAGGCCGTTGCAACCAGTGTTGAAGCACTACACCTCGCCGCACTCTCGGCTCGGGTTCGGATGACGCGACTCGTAAGTCGCGTCGCCATCTGTAGCCGCCGCCTACGTCACTGGCGCGGCCGCCACGACCAGCGCCTCCTCCAGCGATGGCCGAGCAAGAAGAAGACCCCAGAGCATGGTGAGCCCCAGCTTGTTGTTGTCTGTCTGACGCACTGCTTTGGTCGACTTATTCACTCACCCTCGTGCCTCTCCCCCTCGGCAGGTTGAGGTCGCACCGCGCGGCCCGCGTGCGGAACCTGCTGCACGTGACCGTCGCGCTGCGATCCGGCCGCGGACAGCCGATTGCCGAGGCCCTGAGCGACGCGCTGCTGGAGGCGATGCGGGCCGGCAACGAGGAGCAGCTGAAATACTTAGTGCAAATGGTAGCGGACGGTCGTCTGAGGGAGGACAGTCTGGCCGCGGCGTGGCGCAGGGCGCGCGTGCAGAGGCTGCCCCTGAGCAGGGACATGCAGCGGCGGGCAGTCGACTTTATGGTGAAGCTGCGCTATGGGTATGGGCCGTTTACCACCGAGGAGCTGAGCCGCATGCTACTGAGGGTCAACTGCGTGGAGGGCGCGGAGTTCTTACTCCGCACAGTGACGAACGTCCAGGTGCAGAGGGACAGTCTGGAGGCGGCGTGTGGCCAAGCCCGGGACCAGGGCGTGTTCCTGAGGAACAAAATACAAAAACTTCTGAAGCGTCTTCTGCGCGGCTACTCGGAGCTCCTGAGCAGGGAGCAGCCCCTAGGTTGGGACGCGCTGTGGGGCCTGGTGGACCGGCTGCTGGACGAGTACCTGCCGCGCCTGCTCGACCTGCTCGGACGCGACGGCGAGGAGGAGGACGAGGCCGTGGAGTTGGCCACGCTCTCGGCCCTTGCCATCCGCGAGCTGAAGGGGCACTTCTACCGGTCCTACGGCGAGGTGCCCTGGGAGGAGTTTGAGTACCTCCTGGTGACGTTCGTCGAGGCGCGGACCGTCTACAAGACCCTGGCATTCCTCGTGGCCAGCAGGGACAGACTAAGAGTGCACCTGGAGTTCTTCCTGGAGAAGGTGAAGAATCTGAGGACTACATACATAAGTCGCCTAGACAGGGAAGCAGCTGTGGAGGAAATGAAGAAGGCCCCTAAAGGGGAGAGGGCCGTAGTAACAGCCAAGGCTTCTGGTGACCAGCCACTGAAGGCCATCCGCGAGGACTTCGCGCTGCTGCGGGACTGGCACTCACTCGACGAGGTCGTAGAGGCCCTCGAGGCCGCCATCGCCGCCTTGCGACTACCCTCGCAGAGCTGGGAGGAGTGGGGGTGGCTGGCTTTGCGAAGAGGTCTTTTCCTAGCCGGCGAGAAGATGAAGAACACGTGGTCGTCACCCAACTTGTCCGGTCGCTACACCAAGCTCCTGGAGCTGACGGCCCCGGAAGGCATCCTCAAGTTGTTGTGCAGTGGGATCCGTGACGTTCAGGAGCACCCTAAAGTAGTGGCACCCGGGGCACCCGTGAGTAACGCGGAGGCTCTGACCATGTCGGACCTGGATTCTGAAGAGTGGCGGAGAGAGGGGTTGGAGGAGGAACTGGGGAGAGTGCTGCACACGGTCTCAGCCATGCTTACGGAGGCTGAATCTGATTTATGGGCAAAGAAGGGGAAGAATCTTATTGATATGGCGCAAAGCGGCAGAGTGAATACATCATTACGAAGTAATTGTGTGACGTCCGACACGAATGTGATTTACAGGGAAGTGAAAAAAATACTTGAAGCTGCAAACACAGGAAGAAACGACGAGGAACTAGAAAAAATCATTAGAGAATTAAGAGACTTGCTGCGCCACAAAGATAGGATTGATGTTTTTCTAAAAACGCCCCCTCAACTTAATCCACTTGCGGATCACAACAACAAGGTGTATAAGGCTGTGCTACAACACTGCCCGCAAGATTTTCTTAGAATTATTCAACTCTTGGAATGGAAATGTGCTGAAGGCCTGAGTAACTTCCAAGCCGACCTGAATGAGTCAAGTTGTATCGGTGGTGGCTCTGGTGAGGCGTCTCGCTGCGCCATTGAGCGCGGCCTCTCCGCCCTGGAGGCCATTGATCATGACTCCAACCATGAGGGGCCGGTAAGGCAGTACGCCATAGAGGGCGGGCTGCAGGCGCTGGCCTCCCGCTGGTACAAGGACGACCGAGCTCCGCCACTGCTGGTCGCGCACGAGCCCGCCTTGTTCGGCCGCCAGTTGAGGAACTACCTGAACCACAAGGACCTGGCCATGACGCTCTTGTTTCCCACGCGAATGGAATGTGGCAGCCTCTGGGTCCTTCTTCTTGATAGCCGCAGCCTAGTCGCTGACCGCCGGGACGTGGCACCCAGGGTGCAGGAGCCGGCAGCCGCGGCAGTCGTAAACGCTGAGGTGTTGCGGCTGGCCAGGCTCAAGGACGACATGTTCCGCGGCGCGCGCAGGGGAGACCTGGCCGAGGTGCAGCGCGCCGCGGGGCTCGGCGTGGACATCTCCAGCAGGGACTGCCGGGGCCGCACGCTGCTGCACGCCGCCGCCGAGGCCGGCCGGGCCAGCCTGGTGGGCTGGCTGCTAAAGACCAAAGCCGTGGACCCGCTCGCCCTGGACTGGGAGGGGCGGAGCGCGCTGCACTGCGCTGGGACCGGGGAGGTCGCCAAGCTGCTGCTCGCTGCGGGCCGGGGTGAGTACACAAAGCAGGGGTGCATTATTCTGTTTTAGCCCAGGGATCTTGCGCTTAATTTCCTATCACCCCTACATGGCTGTTAAATAAGCAGCTGCGTTGTGTGGCCGCCTAGTCCTAAGAGACAGCAACATAAACTTATTTTGTGTTATTGCTTCATCTAAATGTTTCTAATTGCGCGTGTTCCTGTTGCAGTGGCGCCTTGTGATTACGGGTGCTCTCCTCTTCACACCGCGGCGTTCGCCGGGCGGGCCGACGTGATCCTGGCGCTCATTCCTCACTACGACCTCAACGATAAGGACGGCACCCCCTTCACACCTCTGCACCTGGCTGCACGCGGTGGCCACGAAGCCGCGGTGCGCGCGTTGTTGCAGGCCGGCGCGCGGTACGAGTCTGTCAAGGAGGGGTGCACCCCGCTCTTCCTTTCAGCCACGGCCGGCAGCGCCCCCGTGGTGAGCCTCCTCCTGGACCCGTCCCTGCTGCTCCCGCAGCCCTCGCATGTCGACTGCTGGCGCGCTGCCGGCGGTGCTGGCTACGCCGGGCTGCAGCACCACCTAGACGTGTTTTCCACCCTCACGGCCGAGCTGAAGAGGCGCAGCGCGCAGCTGGACAGCGCGGTGGCGCAGTGGTGCGTAGGCGGAGTGGCTGAGGGGGGCAGCACTGAGGTCGCCGACGAGCTGCTGGTGCACTGGCCGGATGCTGTGCGGCTGGAGCTCGACATCTACAACCAGAAAACTGCCCTATCCATCGCCGCAGCAAACGGTCGCGCTGCCCTGGTGCGCACCCTGCTGAGCCGCGGGGCTGACCCGCTGCAGCGCGACAAGGACTCTGACACTGCGCTGCACTTGGCGGCTCATACCGGCTCCGTGGAAGTGATCAACGCCCTGTGGGACCACACGCAGGCGGAGCAGGACGCAGGGAGGAGAGCGGAGCTGGGACTGCTGTGGGAGGGCCGGGGGGAGGAGGACCCACCGCTGTGTGTGGCGGCAGGGAGAGGCCACCTGGAGGCCCTGCAGCGGCTGGTGCAGCTGGGCGCGGACAAGGACGCGGGGACGCGTGATGAACCTGATGTGACGCCTCTCAGGCGGGCTGCAACCAGAGGACACGCAGAGGTGGTGCGGTGGCTGGTCAAGGAGGGCGCCCGCCTGTTCGACCGCAGTAAGCCTTCCTTCACACCACTGATGGCTGCTGCACTGCGGGGGCACCTGGCCGTGGTGAAGCTCCTCGTGCCGGCCAGCCAGCTCACGAAGCAACAGCAGCGCGAGCGCCTGGACCTGCTGCAGCACGTGAATCCTAACGGGTGGACAGCCCTGCACTGCGCTGTGCCGTTGGGCTCGCTGGAGGTGGTGAGGTACATCCTGGAGCGGGAGCTGCAGCTGCTGGAGCTGCACTACAGCAGGACAGTGAAGGACAGGCGGAGTGTGACGCCGCGCAACGTCACCGTGTACAGCGTGGAGTGCACCAATAAGTGCACCGCTTTGCAGTGTTGTGTCAGGTACGACGCCCCCTCCAGTGTGTTCCGCGAGCTGCTCCGGTACATGGAGAACACGCGGCTGATGGAGCTGGCCGGCAAGGATGTGACGGACGTGCGCGACATGGTGCGGGCGGCGCTGGATCTTGTGGAGCCCGCCAGTCGCTCGTGGACCGCACTGTACGGGCGGGGGCACCCCGTCCAGGAGATGAAGAAGGTGCTCAGGGAGTCACTCCGGCGGCTGCAGGACCCCGTTCTAAGCCAGGCGGAGGAGTCTCTACGGCTACTGTCATTGTAGTAGCTCGGAGAACTGTGATTGTATATTGATGGCGAGGAAATCTAAAAATAAAAAAAATATTCTTGTTTATGAACACCCTTTTGTTTTACCTAGATCCCCCCTATTTAGCCATGAATACGCATGAACACCTAACAGTCACGATAGGGTAGGGTGGTCGTCGTTCAACAGAGCTCTGCTGTGTACTTAACGCGATTACAATGCATTTTCGACTCGTTACAACTACAACTGACGACACTTTTAAAAAACATTACCATTACCCAACACAAAACAATTATTCAACTTATAGATTGTTGGGTTTCTCAAGCTGACTCGCGCCGGCGCTGCAGGTGCGGGCACAAAGTGTTCCCTCTCCCTCTCTCTCTCTCTCTCTCTCTCTCTCTCTCTCTCTCTCTCTCT